ATCGATTCGCCGACTAGCCGCGGGCGCCTTTCTTCATGTGCGCCGTATTTGTAAATGGGTGTGTCGTACCTGCGTTCTGAGAAAGCAGTTAAATAGTTCAAAGAAAAAAATAAACTATCCGGTGTTTCCAGAAGGTTCCAGGAAGTAAACAAAAGGGTATTTAAAGGAAGAGACGATCGCCGAAAGGAGAAGAAATAAATTGACCGTTGCAGAAGTGAATCAAGAAATAAATTGACCGTTGTAGAAGTGAGTCGAGAAATAAATTGACAGTGATAGCGGTGAAATAAATAGCGCAGTGAATAATGATATGTTAATAATTAGTGTAGATAAATAAGTAGTTTTGTTGTTATCAGTCTTAGAAATAAATTTTGTTAAACCCACGAACATTAGAATACGCTTATTTGTCGATTATTAAACAACAAATATGAATTTAATAATTTAATACTTTTTTATGATACACTTATTTTATAAAATGTATGAAACAAAGAGATTTGCTTAATTTAATAGCGTCAATTTGTCATTTTCATTTAGTGCTGAGCTCAATTATATCTAATAAAAACGATAATAGGACTTTATACCGAGAAGACTAAATATAGGAGCAAACGCTTAAGAGAATTTTCTCCAATAGCAAAGTAAACAGAATTGAATGAAATTGCACCCAAACCTAATTAAAACTTTCATAGAAATGCTAATAATTTTTTATGACCCGGTACGTGCGAAAACATTTATTGAAGACACTAGTTGATAGCTATTAATGTAGAGTGTTAAGGGAATTTGACAGTAAAACATCAGTAAATGGGCTTGTTCAGCATTTTTTTTAATTCATAAATCGAAAGTTCAAGCGAAAAATAAGAGATCTGCAAAAAATCAAAATTTTATTCTCATGTTTAGTGTCTTTAAAAAAAATACAAAGTGCTTCTTCTAGGGAAAAGGGGCGTGGTTAGCCGTTAGGTCCTTATACTCAATAGGCTTGGTGATTCTACGCGACTCAACGCTAGTTATTAATCGTTACAGGCTGTATTATTTGTAGGTATACATTGTTTGATTCTATATTACTCCAAAAATGTGCTTCTTAGTATTGCATAATTTCAAAATATAAAATACAAAATAAAAAACGGATAAATGATGTATCTGTTTTCTATCCGACTAAAGAGAAAGGCACGACAACANCCATTAAAAACGTAGTAAGCGATTGCTTCGAACGTAATCAGAAATTCAAAATAAAACCAACGACATAATAAATTAAATGCAGAAATATTTAACAATCATAAATTAAAAACTGCATGAGCACTTTTATTAAATTTTATTTGGAACTCTGACAAGTATCGACAACACTCAACCTACCTGCCGTGATTGTGAGTTGAGAGAGTTAACACCCAGTCTTACCTGAAAATAAATAAAAAGGTTATTTATGACATTTTCAACTGTTTTTTATTACACTGACTATGTTTAAAAAAACCTGATGACATATCTGGGTTCTGGATTCTAAAATCCGGGGGTCTCACGCGTGTTTTTCTGGTTTCCAAATAATATATAAATATAATTTCCAAAAAGTGTCGCAGCTACGTAAACAACCTTTTCTAGATTTTTTACAAGTGGGTAATGAATTATCGCCAGTGATGGTAATAAAAAAGGTATATCAAATAATTGTTCAAGCGTTAATGAAGTACAAAACGTTCTCCAAATGACAACTTAACTAATATTACCTATACGAAGGCAGCACCTTTTAGTATCGGTAATATTAAACGCCTATTTAGCAGCATTAAAAAACAGTATATAATACATATAATCTCGATCTGTATGCAGTTCGATATAATAAATCTTTTCATCTTAACAGTCGAATGAAATTTAAAAACTACAGACCAAATNGTGTAAAAAATCCATAACGCAAGTGCTAAATGCAACATTAAAAAACACAAGATAAAACCACAAATCACTTAATTTACTTACAGTTTGCGCCAACACACTTTTCTGTAAAACATAATTTACTATAAACAACGGCATTTTTTTATATTTTTTACGAAAATATCAACGAACTTTTATCAAAATCCGACTATATACAGGGTATTTATTAAACATACAGACGAATATGAAGGGGCTACTGTTTATTTTAATTGTAAGAAGATTTTGTCCTTTGATGATTTTTGAAAAGGAGCATTGATTCGAAGATACAGGGCGACAAACGTTTTCAGATAATGACAAAATTTTATTAGCTACCTTAATATTACATATATTAAAGCTTCTTAAATCAACAATAACTGTTGAAAATAATTATCACCAGCTAGAATGCCTAGATCCAATCCTTTCTCCATTGACCACTGAACTTTTCAAAAATAGCAGGGTCGCTTCATGTTTAATTACATCCTAAAATTATCCAATTTCTCAAATTTTCAACACGAATAGTGCAAACTAATGACTTCAGATAGTAATCAAAATTAGTAGTAAAAGATAAAAGTGCATTTTGAACATTTTTAGCATTAGATAACACCAGTCCATACGCTATACTTTATTTTCAGCTACATTAGTAGCCTTGTATTTTCGAAGTAAAGTTGTTTTCCAAAAATTATAAAACGACGAAATATTCTTAGAATAACCCAGATAATAACCCCTTTAAGTTTTTCTGTATGTTTAATGAACACTCTGTTTGAAAACGTAAATTTACGTTATTATATCCGACGGTCCTTACTCTGCTAGGATATGCAAATACGTTACAGCCAAAATAATTAATAATAAATGGGTATTATTTATAACATTTAGCGATTATGTGCAGGTAATGTCTACCTTATTTAGACAACATGATTATTAGAGTAGAATTAATCAAGTAATCTACGTAGTTTGCAAAATATCTAGTAAGATTTGGATAGAATAACGGATAATAAGTTTTAATTTATTTTATATTACAATGGTAGTAATAAAATTAAGGAGTGTAGTCACGAATGTACTCGAAGTTAAAAAAAGAACACTGTCTAGCAAACCCAGAGGAAATAAAAAAAGCTTAGGAATTGTATGACAGATTAAGTAAGTTTTCTTTAATTTCTGCTGTTTTTGCAGCAGTGTCTTTCTTTAACTTTTCATTTGACGTTCGATTATACTCTTTATGTCTATGTTTAATACTTTAATCAATCCCAATTAGCTATTACGAATAATGTCTGGAAAAAGTAGTTCAATTATCATATTATATATAACTACAGAATTTAGTTAGTGTAGATAATGTCTAGCCATTATGTATAATCGCTATTTGATCACATTGTCTGTAACGTATATGTATTAAAGTCCAACAAAATGTTGCAAAATCCATACCTCAATATCTCCTTTTGTTATAGCTGTCTCTTCGAAACGAAACAGAATGTCTTCATTCTTCCGTTTCTCTTCTTCAAGTTGCGATTGCAGATCATTTTTGTCCACGTTAAGAGTAGATATTAAACCCGAGAATTCCTTCCATTTTAATTCACATTCCGAGCGATACTGCAATTTAAATTGAAAAATGATTTTTATTCAAATGGGTACTAAATTGAACAAAAGTGCGTATGATTCTAAACGACTATTTTCAACAACTACTTTTTATGGGCATCTTCTATTTAAAAAAAATAATATTTGCATACAGTTCGGTAACTACAATAGTTCTGCGAACACAGTAATGCAATGGCTAGAGAACCCTTAACGACTCTTGATGAAAGAGCCGGGAAAACGTCCGTGAGACCATATGATTGTAATTTGTACTTATGTAACATACAAGACCCTGTTGTACGCAAGAAACTGCTCTGGCTCATTGGTGGCCTGGGTTCTATCGTAGATGACGTATTTTTCTTAATTTGTATATTTATTAGTTACATTTTCTTTGGTAGTTAAGCTTACGGCTATAAGATTTAGGTTGCCCTGATATTGTCTAATTATATACTTAAAATTTAATCAATAGGGGCAATAGATATCTTTCTGCAATGATGCAACTATGCTGAGTTGGAAAACGTTATTGTAGGGCCTCACGAACGTTTTTCCGCCTCTATTAAGAGTCGTTAACGGCTCTCTACCAACAGCCTTGAAATAATTCGATTTCGAATCGTTTTATGTTATTATTATTTACTACTTATTATTTTTTAGTATTATTCAGAAAGTCGGAAGTTACCCAGTTTTTTAAATTTTCCTTGTCTTTGCTACCGATTGAATGAGACATTACAAAGCTCAATTTAGCGCAGAACAATCAATTATACTTCAAATTTATAAGTTCAAGTTTTGACGATTCAACAAGAGCATGACATTTATTATTTACAAATGAAATATATAGTTTTGTCGCAGAATTATTGTATACCGAAAAAGATCGTTATTAAACAATTTACTTTCGTATAACTGTTACTAAAAATGGTTATTCTCTTTTTGGTTTAATTCAATTACGTAAAATTACACAGAAAATGTAGATTCAACTAATTAGATACCAACCTAAAATTCACTTCAGTGAGTAACGTCTCTGTAAAACTAAATTTATTTTAGTTTTCTACAAATTCTTCATTCTCATCTTTTTCTTCCAAAATATTATACAAATATCACTTGGTAGTACAAGGAGAAACGAAAGGGTATTCCTTTTTTCTGGTTTGCAAGTATAAAATTTTGTGATGAGAAAATTACTAATTTAAAAAATACTGATATTTTACTAATATAAGGTATAGTATAAATATAATTGTTAAATATCCTACCATTATAATTTCAGTATTTTCTTGCTGATGCTTAGCATTAAAAGGAGTAATTAATTTTATCTTATATTCTTTTACTTTAATTTCCAAAATTTCTTACTAACAGACTGGTATAAAAGAATTTTGTTCTTTTGCATGGTTCGTGCAATTTACAAGCTGGTTTTTTCTTGTAACTTTTCGAAACACAAATACAAGAGTGTAAATTATCAGAGCATGTATTTTCATTTTTAATTTAATTTATGAGAAAAGAAGCATTTTCACGTTTTGACGATTTGTTTTCAGTACTAAGTACAAACAATAATATAAAATTAGGCTGAACTGTTTTCGGTTAATATCATTTTATATATATGAATGCATGTATGTATTTCATTTACCCTGTACCTATTTATAAATTGTGCAGTTTAGGACACATATGCATCACAATAATCGTTAGAGATGATAGTTTCTTTTAAGTAGGAATGATAACCACATTAAAGATGTTCTTTTTTTCTGTCTTCTGTTTTATGTACAGAAATTTTTATTGAAGTGGCATTAAAAAAAGAAGATAACCAAGTAGGTAGTGAATACGTTGAAAGAATTCGCAATTATTAATTCAATATTATTCTTCAATTTCAAGCTTTATCGTCAATTGCATTGTTCTGAACAAAAGCTTTTTACAGAGCAGTTTACCTTTTCGTATTCAGACTGCAACGTGGCCAATTTTTGTTCAACTTCATCAGCTTGGCTGGCAGCTCGGTTGACTTCTGCTCTCTCCAAATCCCTTTCTTTCAGAAGCTGCTCGATATGCTGTTGCTTTTCTCTTAGAACATCCTGCCCCAATAATAACATACAAACTCTTAAAACTAATTCACCTGAAGTCCTCATATTTCACAAAGGAAACACACCACTGGCTTTGGGTTACATCGGTATCGTTACAAATTATTAAAAAGAAATAATAAAAATACCGCAACACAAAAATGCAATTACTTCCAAAGAATGTACCGCAAACTATACCGATTCGCGTAAATTGCTACGTTGCAAAAAAAATCGAAGACACTAGAAGAAGGTTAGATATGTGCAAGTTTCGGGTTTTATTAGACCTGCTTTTGGTAAAGAGCAGATCACAACTGAAGCTAAACGGAGATATTCTGAAAATTTTTGCTTAAATGTGGGCGAAAAAGTAATAAACCGAATTAAACAATACTTACTCATTAACACACAGCATTCGCTATAATAACCAAACGCATTGTTGTTATTAAACTTTTGCTTACCAATTTTGTTTTAATTTAACTAAATTGCAATTTCACCGTGACATTATGATTTTTGTGAGCCAATTTTAATTCATTTCATAAAGCATATTGTATCTAAGGAAACAAAAAAGTAATCGTAGTTACAAATATCAACTAGATAAAATTAAGTATGTATTTTTTACTTCTTATATCGCTTAAATGCCAAATTTTATTACTAAAAGTATGCAGAAACAATTGAAAATCATTATTACCTACATATAACATGTGAGTGTTAAAATACCGGACAGCTGCTAGAATTCTAAGTTNAATATGCATTACCAGTATTAATAATTAGTTATTAAACTAATAACGTAGGTATACCATTGCAGCTTTATTCATTTCATTCCTGTACTGATGTGGGTACTCTTTATTAGTATTAAAATAGTCCATAGTATTAAATGTATCAACTTGTGATATGTTAATAGAGGCAACTTCATTAAAACCAACTTTCTTGTTAATTAAAGACTTTTTCTCAGATTACCACGCTTTATCTGAACGGCTGGTAGCGGTCACGGTATATCTCCGAGTTGCGTATAGTGACGTCTTTAGCCGCCGCACTGTGTTTGCGATTAATACAATTTTCAATATTTTATATCTCAAAAACTAAAATAGCTAATAATATCAAATTTTAAGGATATAATGAAAATATTGAGTACTACACAAAATCGTATTTTATTTATATTTCGGAATAAGCCCACTGCTACCTGCCATTTAATTGACCAAACGGATTTCAGTAGAATTTAAAATAATGATGAATAAATGCATAAATTCAAATTATGTGAAAGGTACCTATTTCATTATGAATAATAACTGAAATTGTCAGATTTCTTATGCCGAGCAAGAGTCCGTGCGCTAAATAGTAAACTTCGCAACGTTCGATAGGATGTAAGAGAAATAAGTGTCGAGTTTGCAAGAGGTGATGGAGCGCTGCAAAACATGAAAATTGAGTAAAAGTTTCTATGTCCGAATGTTCACTGTTTTCGAGAAAAACGAAGTTGAAAGTGCCGGTAAATTCAATTCCGGTCCTGGTTAATAAATACGGCCCGCAACGCTGCACTCAATCGGCGGGTAATTACCAGCATCAGTGTAGTGTTTGCTTTGTATTTTTTGCTCATGTAATTGTTTATTTTTTAGATCAGATTAAGTGTGATTCGGGGGTTTAAGTCAGAGCCGGGCAAACTTTAACTTCGCAGGAGCCGCTACATGAGGTTAGTTTGAGTCACTCCATACCCTTCAATGAGTACGAGACAGTAAGCAGTAATGAATAATTTGTTTTGTCTTTTTCTTCTCCCTTCCACTCCCATATCAAGCCCCTTCATCCCGTAGACGAGCGAAGCCACTCTCGCAACTTAAAAAATACCTACGAAAATTTTCCTTACTACGTTCGCAAAAACATTATAACGGTTGCAACTATCTCGCAGAAAATCCGTTAACAAAAAATTACATTTACATTGGTGGATAGCATAAAACATATTTTGAAAAAGATTATAATGATTGGTTTGGGACGTTGGTGAAGGTAGTCAAAATTATTAAGTAATTACGTGACTGTGGCTTAACCGTGACCGTACCTTTAAAGTTTAAACCTTGTGCAGTTCAATAAATTAATTCTTCAATACAACATCAATTGTCAGTCACTGTAGAACAGTTGTTGTTACAATAATGTGACATGATACGTATTTACGGGTAGGGACGAAATCCTCGATTTCAAATAAGACAATCCCCCAAAATAGTACACGCGAAGTAGCAGAGAACGTTGACCCCTTTCTATGGGACAATTTTTAAAGGAACAGTTGCTGCATCCTTAATATTTGTAGCGAGTGCAAGCCTTGCTTGAAACTGTTTTTCAGCCGCGAGTGGATTTGTGTTGGTGGTTTAGAAAGAAAGTGCTCCATTGCCTAATTTTTTTCGGTAGGGTGTTGTTTAACGGCTTTGCTTTATGTGGGACAGAATATTTTGAATTATAATAATCACTTATGGTGCGACGCAAATTCGTACATCTTCCGTGATTTTAAAAACTGTTTTCGGTAAATGTGAGGTGTGAAATTTTTGTAGACTTTTTGACTTTTTTGAAAAGTTTACTTACTATAACCCGCAAAAAGGTAACGTACCTTGGCAATACCTCAATAATGTAGAAATTTACCTTGATGCTCATTTACCGATTGATGTTTATGTCTCTTACATTTTTTCTTTTTTTTGTATACTTAAATTTGCATAGTGCTGCCTGTATTTCTTTAATTTATTTAGTTTCAAAATTATGTATAGGTAGTATGAAATTGTTTATGTTTATCTGTTTAACTGAGACGTTCGACATACGGAGAGAACTCCCTTGACGCCAACCGAGGCTAAAAAGCATCATCAACAATGAAGGATAGAAAGCGCGTTCGTACGCTGCGCGATGAATAACCGCGCGTCACTTTTGGTGCTTTCAGTTGTTAAATACAAATTACAAAATGTAAATACACGGCAAATCAGATGTGTACTGCTTTAAGTGCAGCGTAAGAACGAGCACAAATGGTGACACTGTACGCTACAAACAAACCATGCATTTCCTACTCCTATCGCCTATTGTCAGTAAAATATAATTTTGTATACGCATTTGATTTTAGAAAACTTCATTAATTTTAATTAGTGGATACCTGGATCACGTACTGAATTTGAATTGAATTGAAATAAGATATTGTAGTTAAGCAAATTATTGTAAATATTTCAGTAAAATATGCATTTGTTATGATCAAAGGTCATTGCTACTTGTAATTGCATAATTACTTAGTCGCTTAATGCTTTTTAGATAGAAAACTAAGATCTTTAGTAATGTAGGTTGCCTACCAGATCGGCTTCGTATGTTTCAGTTTGTGTACAGTAAAAGTTCCTTATTCACGGTTTCCTTATTCGCGTTTTCATTATTCGCGGGCGAAAAAATTGCAACCCAGTTCCTGTATTCGCGGTTAAAAATTTCATTATTCGCGGTTGCAATCGGAAAACAGAAAAGGATTCAGTGTCATTTATTAAGGGGATTGACCGCAATAGACCGCTCGTGCCTAGTGTGAATTTTTCTGAAAACATGGGTTTCTATTCTAAACATTGTAATTTAACGCTGCGAGATAAATATCTAATTTTTTGTATGGTAACAGACAGAGGTTCACACTAACTCGGCACGTTTTTAGTTTTCAATAATATGACCATTAAGCTTTTACAAGTGCTTAAAATTGATGCTACTTGCAGGACACGTATATTCAATAGAAATTGAAAAATTAAGAAATGCCCTTCGACAAGCTTTAGAACAAAGCTGTATCTATCTTACTACAAAATTTCAAACCTCTGTTTTAAATATTAAACTCATGATATCTAGAACCGATAAGCATGTTTTTACTCTACGGCGCGTGTACTATTGAATCCCTTTAATGTATC